GGAATTTAACAATCTTTGGAAATGTTGTTTAAGTGACGTTTTTGACGAAATTCCGCTAAGGCTGTGGACAAAATCATTTGACGAATTTGGCGGAGGTGACTATTCTGACGAAATTTCGCCAAGGTTTTGACGAAATTGAATTAGTGATTAGATATGAGCTGGCTAGAAGGGCCCCGAAAAGTTGACGAATTTGAGTGGTGACTGTTCTGACGAAATTTCGCCAAGGTTTTTGAAATTTTACTAGTCTAGTGAATAGATGTGATCTGACTGAAATTGCGTTTCTTATGATGTAATTTGCAACAAGTTAGGCCCTTCTCTAATGATATAATTTGCTTAAAAATTGCCAAAATCTTCAGATTCGCCAACATGTTTGGCCCGTCTGTGATGATGTAATTTGCTTAAAAATCGCCAAAATCGTCAAATTCGCCAACATGTTAGGCCCGTATCTGATTTCTGCATATAAACCCACATACAACCCACAATTCTTCCATTCGCTCCGACGAAGGGCTAACGATCGAAACGTCGGCTTTTTTATTCGTTACGGTGGCCAATTTACAATTCAACTTAGTTGATATAACCAAATTATCTGACTATGTAATTTGCATGAGAATCGTCAAATTCGCCAACAGGGTCAGGGTCGTCTGTGCTGAGATAATTTGCATAGTTTTGTCACGCGAGAAGTCGTCAAAATTATCAGTTCCGCTAAGCTGATTTCGCTTTTACGAAACTGACTAAAATTCGTCTAAATTGTCAAATCCACCAAGCTGATTTCGCTTTGCCGAATTTGACTAAAATTCGTCAAAATCGTCAAATCCGCCAAGCTGATTTCGCTTTGACGAATTTGACCAAAATTTGCCAAAATCTTCAAATCTATGAACATTCACTCGGTTCGACGAAGTTTCGTCAAAGCTACTATCTTAGTTACTGCGTATGTTTCTGGACGTAGTGCAAAATGGCGAGCCAGTGCTGGCTTGGGACAAAACCCATGGAAACATGGTTCGGCACAACAGCTTTCGCTAAGACTCATAACTTAAGTTTGCGACTGATTTCGCCAAAAACCTTAGGCGAAAGAAGGAAAAAGGTTTTGTCAATGCCCATGGCGGAAGTGTGCAAAATCTTTCGCCAAAATGCATAGGCAAAGGCCATTGAAACTTTCGCCAAAACCATCGGCGAAAGAGTGAATAAGCTTTCGTGCATGGTGAACGCGTGTACGTTCGCCAAAACCCATGGCGAAAACGAACATAGCCTTTCGCCAATACTCGTCGCGACATATTATGAATTTCGCTACATCCTCTGTTCCTTGCATTATTGGACACGAATCGCATTGGTTAAGATATTGTAAAGAATTATGAGGCTCAGTTTTTTTTTTTCCCTAATTTTCTGGCAGGATGAGTACATAAAAAGTCGGGCGAACGCAATGGAGAACATCGAATCAACGATTGTCGAACTTGGAAGCATATTTCAAGACCTTGCTCACATGGTTAAAGAACAGGAGGAGCAGATTGAAAGGTTGGGAAGTTTATTGATATATTATGACACCTTTCATGAGGCTAAGGATCAAAGCATGAAAAAAAAAAAGTTTGCTATCGATTTGTCTCCAAGTGCCGTTCTGGCATTCTTGTGTTCTGTCTCCAAATGCCCCAATGATAAAAAGTGTACAGGCGAGTATCCACTGATGCGGATCTGCACAAGCGAAGGTGCGATCTCGAAAACTAAAACAAGTTGTTTCCAAAAAAAAAAGATTCTTGCGTTGCATTCCAGCATACAAATCGTCTTATTTGTGAATTTCTTAGACTGTCCCAGAATCTCGCTCTTTGTCGCCGGACTCGGTCAAAATTGAAAACCTTGTTGGTTTCGTCAGTGTCCTTCTATGTAGCACCGCGACCATTTGCTCCCTCGTCAACGGTATGGTCGCGTGACTTTAAGTACGCAAATTGCTATAGGGGGAACGCTCTTTTTAACCGCAGCCAACGTGACTTCTCTTCTCCCTTTGAAAGTCACCTCAGTTTGTCTGCGCCTTCTTACTGTAATTCTGTTGATCTATTATCTTCTTTCAGGATTGATGCTAATGTTGAAGCAACAGAGCTAAATGTTGAAGCGGCTCATGGTGAACTGTTGAAGTATTTTCAGTCAGTCACCTCCAACAGGTGGTTAATCATCAAAATATTCTGCGTTCTCATTATCTTCTTCGTCGTTTTCGTTGTCTTCATGGCTTGAATCTTCCCCGAACTTGGGCCCTACAACTCACCCATTTCTTTCTATCACATGTATGTTACGGAGATGATTATCATTACGCTTGGAAATAATTTTTCGTTAAATTTGGTATATATGATGTCGACAAATGGAAACTCCGAAATGCGAAGGGTGGAAACCTTTGGCTTACCATGGCAACTGGGCTAAAAGTGGATTGCAACTATTAAACTTAGTCGAAGGAGTTTTCAAAAAGCGATCGAAGAAATTCGTTGTGTGACTATATGATATTATTACGGCACAGATCAGGAGGAAATGAACAGTCATGTCGACAGAAGATATAAATGGGTATGACATAATTTTAAGAGTTGGCGAGGGAAACGTTTAGTTAAAAAATCGTAGCCAAATTAGTTGTAATGCCCTACAATAATTGTTACTGCCTTTGGCAGCATAATGCACATTTGCGTTTGAGCAGCCAATTTTAACCCTTCCCCCCCGCCCCCCTCCTCCTAGGTTCGACTTCAAGGAGTGAGTTAGTGATTTTTTATTGTGAAAGATCTCCAAATCTCTGAGATCAGTTGAATCCTCTAGAGAAAACTAACAGAGAGTGGCAAATGTTCGAGAAAATTTTCATTAATTGACGTTTTCATGCACAAGTATTATCCTTGGAAATTTTTCCGTCATCGATGATCGAATTCTACTGACAAGAGCGGTCCTCCCCTTTCTATAGCTGCATACTTTGACTATTTATCGCAACACTCTCCAAGAGGGAAGACAAAGAAGAGGAAGGAAAGAAAGAAAAACGGAAAAGATTTTCTAGAAAAATTTCTCTTGACTTTTCATTCTTGATTGATCTTTTCGTGAATTTCTTTTCGGGATATTTGTAAGTTATTAACCAGTCCAGGGTAACCCTTTCACGTCCAAGATCCGATTAGTAGTTAACTGACTGCCATCTGTTTCCGTTAAATCAAGATTTAAATCAAGAATACACTCTTTTGGTGATATATTAGTCTTACGTATTCTGATTGCCTGTGCTAGATAGTTTGAAAATTTCGATGAGAATTTACGCATCAATCACCTCTGGAAGTGAAAGGGTTAGGTATGAAGGTCCTTTCCTTTCGATGTTTACGGCGTTAAGGCACGAAGTGGGCAGAAGTATTGTTCAGTTCCCAAGCGGTAGCTGAACTGCGTGGCGTTGCAATATTCTTAAAGCTTGTTTTCACTTTTGACGGAGTCAGAGTCGTAATCCGCAGATGTGCTGAACGTTACGATCAAGTGAAAATCAAACCGACGGAATCGGAAGAAAAATATCGATACCGTTCACGACTCAGTCGCTTACGATGCAATGAAAACTATAGTGTCGGAGTCGCAAGCAGAAGACTGTACTGGAAAGGGTTGAGAACTGGCAATGTGATTGGCAAATCTTTCCACTTCTGCTTGCGACTCTGATCTAGTTTTCTCTGGATCAGGAGCATCGTAGTCATAAGCGGAATCGGAAAAAATGAAACCTTTCTGATTCTTCCTACTCCAATTCCGTCGAGCTTTTGACACCGCTTACGACTCCGATTTTCAGTTTTCACTAGGTCGGAGGTGTCCTTACTACTGCGACTTCGATTTTTTCGCTAGTGAAAACCAATTTTAACAAAAAGAGTTTACGCATGCAGTGATGATGTAAAGTTGCATTAGTTGTTATTGGACTATCTGCAGAGTACATAAAAAGATGTTCAACACTGTTTCTGGCCACATATTTCATAGGTTTTCATTAATTGTATGAGGTGAAATCTAGTAGGAGAATTGTTCAGCTCTTGCATGAGAAATTCGAACTTAAGCAACTGATAAAGGACTCGAAAGTAGAAAGGAATTTACTTAAATGATTATAAGTTTCGCATTATTCTGTCATATTGGTTTTACGTGCTGTTTCATTTTACTGAAAATGAGAAATCATTTAGCAAAGATGTCAAATGGACAATTTACGTTATTATGAGAATATTGTAACTGTTATCATTCTACCATGACATACTGAGCATCGAGAAAGATGCGGGCGATAGAGAAAGAAATATTTACATGTTGGTTTGTATGTGAAATAGATATTCCAGGGAGGAGGGAGTTGGGTGGGAAGTATCAAGTCATGAGTGTGGCGCGAAGTTTATATTTTTCTCCCTGTAGAATAAACCAGGTCTGTAATTTCGATTTCATCAGACTTAGAATGAGTGGTGTCATCAGTTCCTTGAGTGAACGCGTCAAAGTGTTTACGTTTGGTTAACGGTCAACGATCCAAATGACCTCCCCCCCCCTCCCCCCTGGTTTTCCCTTTGTTTTCCCTCCCTATTTTCATTTATGTTTTGTTACTTCGTTAGTGTTTTTAATTTTTAGTTGGTTTGTATTGATGAAAGCGGGCTGACTTGATTCTTTGCACTGACTTATGATCTGACTTGTTGCTGCCAGCATAAGAGTCCTCGCTACTACTCAAACCTCAGACTCTCCCATTCTAGCATTCCTTGAAATCTTTCAACGCGTGGGACGCTTTCGACTATGATGATTCTGAAAGCAGTCACGAGTCACTCTGTTCAATAACGAACTGGATCCTTGTAAGGGAATCTGGATTTTTTTGTCCCGAAAAACGATAATTTGAACTGATCAACGAGTTGAAAATGTAAATTGTACACCGCAAAGAGAAATCTAAAGCTGACGGTAAGTGAGTTAGCCTTTCGTTCTGACGCAGCATAACATTTTCTTTAGAAAATTACCCCCTTTTTTTCATTTGTAGTTTAAAACACCTGCTGTATTTTCTATCTTTCTCTTCGTTTCAAAATATTGATCTACTAACAAATGTACTGTCTGGTACAAGAATTCATATCTTAAGAGCGTGTCTCTGTAAGAATCAAACATCTTGGAAAATTTGAAAATTTTCAACCCCCCTTCAAATTTTGCATGCAGTTAGGCACTCAGGGGGGGATGCACAAAAATGCCCTTTGCAATACTCTTGTTGCGAAGGTAACAACGACTGGTTGTTCGAGGCCTGGGGCCTCATTTTCATACAAAAACATCGCAAAAAAAGTGTAATGTTTATTTCTCTATCTCAAGCTAAATACAACACTACGGATTGGTACTTCTATCATACATAGTGACATTATTTGTCTTTACTTTGATGCATTCAATTTTCCCTGGGAGTGAATGTAAGCACACCAATAGATTATTTATCTCAGTACAGTTTCGGTCATTTTTGCTGTAGGGTAAAACAGGGAAAACGTTTGTCTAAATTTCTCCAAAAGTACACCGATTCTGGAACTGAAACTACGCACTTAGTTGGTCATAATATTCTAGTTTTAAAATATGTAAAAATCTCTACGGGCCGGCCTCTACTTTTCATCAGATATAGCATAAATTGGCAGTGTTTACATCTAATGTTCTCAACAACAAACCTTTCAGACAAATGAAAAGTGCAAGACTTTGAAAGAATGTTATCTTCTGAGAAATATCCCGAAGAGAAATTTCGCCTCTAGCTTTAAAAAAAAAAAAAAAAAGGATCAACCTTCATGGAGGACTACTCGACGTAACTACAAACAGGAAATATTTGCTTGCAAATAGAATTTTTATGCTTCTTCTCGCCATTGTGTACTTTTTATTTCTTTGGGGGGCCTGGGACTTGGGGTGGCATTTATTTGGATTATACCCAATACCCTTTGGGATACTTGTGCTTGCCAAGTGACCAGGCGCCCATGTGAGCGTCACTCCGTTTCATCTTGATGGTGGTTAAAGACGTGTTTTCTCATCCCTCCTCCTCCCCTTGTCCCAGCCACTCCCCTTTTTCAGATCCTTAGATTGTATTTTTGACGTTTTCAGTGCCCTCACCTTTACTGGGCCAAACTTTTTATCAAGGAGTTGATTGAACAGTAATTTTAAATAAATGCGGCTATGGGATTTTGCCCACAGCCATTTACTCCAATTGTTGATTGGATATAATTTTGCCCAGTAAACATAGCTCAGGCAAGGCAGCATATTTGGGTTGTGCATATAATTTATAAGGGAGAAAAGGCATAAATGTGTCTTAAATCGTGTGCATATCATCAAAATTCCGAGTACTGTACCTCCTTTCATGGGAATTTGAGCAATCCGAAATCCTCTGACGATACACTGTTATACCTGCCTGTCATTTGAAACATGTTAAAGCTGGCTGATCTACACGAAACTATCCGTAACACCGGTCATTTGTCATAAACAAGTACGTTATCCCGATGGCGTGACGCTGGATTTCTCCATGAAGTTTCCATCAGGTCGCTCCAAAGAAGTCGAGATATGGACATTTTTCGACATTTCAGCAGATTTCCTCGCATTCTGAAGTAAAAACAATCAAAAAATACTGAGGGTGAGAGTATAAATCGCAACTTGTTGGCGGTAGTACTACATGTAAAACCCAGTTTCCACAACAGCAATTTGTGCGATATATTGCCTCTTCCGTCGAGCAGATGTCAATTCTGAGTGACAGGGACTGCGATATTTTGAATCATCCAAAAACTGTTAGAAATTGTCAGAAAATGTACATAAGATAGGTTAACGAGAGACTTATCACCGCCGCAGTGCAATCGAGTCAGTCAATGTCTCCTTCCACGTCTTGATCAAGAAAAAATCAAAACAAAGTTCGAAATAAAAGATTTAATGAAATCATAATGTCATAATTCCATCTTCCAAACTACTCATCATCCACACGCAAAGCGCAACTCGTAACTGGAATGAAATTCCCCAAGGTGATATGTAATCTGGATTGCTTCAGGCTCCTCAGGAAAACGAACAGCGATTTCATCACGATTTCTTTTATAAGCTTAAAGAAACATGAATATAACGCAATCTTCCGGTGAATTACACGTCAGGAAGTCAAAGGTCTCTTTAATTTCCCCTTGAGGTGGCCGGCTAACCCGGTAGAAGAAGGGGATAATTTTTTCCAATGATGTTAGTCTGTGTAGATTATCAAGCTAATAACTGAGAATATTGTTCTCGTTCGTTCATCAGAAACAAATCTGTACTCCTCAGTCCATGCGACACCGAAAAAAGAACTTTTGTAATTTTGTAGGCACTTACTGTAAAAATGCATTTTGTTATCAAGAAAAAGAAATCTGAAGGCTCAAAGCCAAAGTGTTGTTCAAGCATGTAAAAAATTCCCTGAAAAAGGCTAAATTTGTGGAAAGTGACTGTGATAAAATCCCTGTTCCATTTGCTGTAATGCGGGGATACTGAGTTGTTCAAAATCTCCACTTCGCGATAGTTTTCGCGCGAGTGGTAGATTTTACATGTGTGCTTACATTCACTCCCAGGGAAAATTGAATTCAGCAAAGTAAAGACAAATAATGTCACTATGTATGCTAGAAGTACCAATCTGTAATGTTGTATTTAGCTTGAGATAGAGAAATAAACATTTTACACTATTTTTGCGATGTTTTTGTATGAAAATGAGGCCCCAGGCCTCGAACAAGCAGCCGTTGTTACCATGGCAATAAGAGTACTGCAACCTTTAAAAAGGGATTTTTATGCATTCCCCCTGAGTGCCTAACTGCATGCAAAATTTGAAGGGGGATTGAAAATTTTCACTTCCCAAGATGTTTGATTCTTACAGAGACTCGTTCTTAACGATGCTGATGAAAAGCAAGGAGTCGCCAATACACGAATAATGGTTAATAAAATACCTTAGGGGTGGGAGAGTTTGACTGGTTTTTAAGAGATCAGGCTTTCCGTGCGCCTTTTAGGTCGAAATTAATGCCAATTACAGAACTTATTTTTTATTTAGATTCACAGGTCTTGAAAAATGACCTTTCGAAGAGTGATGTGATCACAGTAGCATCATAAACAAAATCCAGGAGCCTTCATTCTCTTTTCAATCTAAGTTCTCCGAACAAAATACTATTCAGCTTGATAAGGGATGCAAGTTGTGTTCTTAAGAGAGAATCGATTCTTTCTTACAAAAAAAACAACTGTCTTTCGCCGGGTACCGCTGGCTACTCGTATATGCATGGGTTTCCCTAAATTTAACACCAAATGTTCTTGTTTGAAGTAATTGCCAAACCATATTTTCAACATAAAACAAATATACGGAGGCTAGTTAGACACGTTAATGGCCTATTGTTGCCTTGTTGTTTTTTGTCTGTTTGTTTGTCTGTTAGTTTGTTTGTTTTTTTTTTTTTAAGTTTGGAGGGCAATGACCAACTAATCAAAGATGAAGTATTCAGCAATTCGTCTTAATTTGATATCTGAGTAAAGTTGCAATTATAATGAAAATCAGCGAAATCCCTCGTAAATCTGTCTGGTTTTGATATAGCATCACTTGGTTCATCATCCACGGAGACCCAGGGGCAGTGAGTCGATTTCAAGTTAAGGGCAGAAGAGCCCCTGATGACATTGTCTTACAAGACCAGTTCCAAACAGTCGCAGTCGTTCTGGCATCTGATTGGTGCCAGAAAATATTTGTGTTTTTCTGCCCAATCAGAGTGAAGTGTCGTTTGGAGTCCTTTCCGGTGTGTTTTAACACGCACATATTCAACAAGCCCTGTTGCTCGCTATGTTTGTTTGGGTCGTGCGACGAAGCTTTGCCCGAGGTGAAAAGTTTCAATCTCAGCACACAATGTAAGAGAAATCGATCAGGTTGTCCGCGAAATCTTACCGGAAATTATACTGAATACTTTCGCAGGTATCACAAGAGAACGAGTTTAAAAGTTTGCGAGGTTCGTTTAAAACATAATGGTTGCAAGCATTGATATGTCGCTTTAAACGTAAGATGAGATGTAAGCCTAAATCTTTCAAGATTTTTTGTTATCAAGTTTCAGTCACAACAAATTGTACAAAAAATCTAAAAAGATTTAAGCTTACATCTCATCTAACGTTTAAAGCGACATGTCAATGCTTGCAACCATTATGTTTTATACGAACCTCGCAAACTTTTAAACTCGTTCTCTTGTGATACCTGCGAAAGTATTCAGTATAATTTCCGGTAAGATTTCGCGGACAATCTGATCGATTTCTCTTACATTGTGTGCTGAGACTGAAACTTTTCACCTCGGGAAATGCTTCGTCGCACGCCCCTAACAAACATAGCGAGCAACAGAGCTTGTTGAATATGTGCGTGTTAAAACACACGAAAGGACTCCAAACGACACTTCACTCTGATTGGGCAGAAAAACACAAAGATTTTCTGGCACCAACCAGATGCCAGAACGATTGCGACCGTTTGGAACTGGTCTTGTAAGACAATGTCCCCAGGGGCTCTTCTGCCCTTAACTTGAAATCGACTCACAGCCCCTGGGTCTCCGAGGATGTTGGTTCATCAACTGAGTTGATAATGTTGATTGGCCACCGTAAAGAGCTTCTTAAGCTAATTTTCTGAGTGGTACTTCACCGCTCTGACGAAGGGCTAACGCTCGAAAGGTCAGCTTTTGAAACTCTTTACTATGGCCAGTTAACATCATGATTATCAACTCACAGCATCCCAGTTTCTTTAGAAGCTAACCTCCTTTAAGGTTTCAGTGCACTTTGATTGTCAACCTACATAAACACATTTGAATCGACTTCTTACCAGCTTTGGAAATAAGAACGTAGGAGTGAACGTGATCTGAATAGTAATTACCTAAGACAAAAAACATGAAAGTTGGTTCATGAACTGAGTTGATAATATTAATTGGCCACCGTAAAGAGCTTCTTAAGCTAACGCTCTGAGTGGTACTGTCCCGCTCCGACGAAGGGCTAAGGCTCGAAACGTCAGCTTTTGTAATCGTTACGGTGGCCAATTTACTATTTCAACTTTGTTGATATATCCAAATTATTTCGTTACTCCCACCAACGCAGCCCCAAACAGTTTCTTTCGAAACTATCAGCCCTTAAGACAAAAACAGATGTTTTGTCTTAATTTTCATTAACTCGCCGAAGAACATGCAATGTAGCGTGTAAGAGGCAAAGACAATCCTTATCAGCCTACCTTCGCGAATACCTCTTCTAATACTGTGGTCTTTTTCTGCAAATTTCGCATTTGAAAATTATAAATTTAATCATGAATTTCTCTCCAACTGAGCATAATGAATATGCGGCGGTTTATCAGACACATTAATTAGTGGCCTTGTTCATTTAATTTGTTTTGGAGGAAAAGTAGAATATAAAGATTACGGAGTTTTTATAACATGTTCATAATTTTCCAGTTTATAAATGGCTTCAACTGCTATATGAAAAGACTTTTGAATCCAACTTAAACCTTTCGCCCTGCCATCTTCTGTCTGGTAGTAAATAATTCTCAATTAAAATCCTAATCCTTTCCTAATTCCTAATCATTGTTTAATCACCATTTCCTATCTTCGAAATATCTCTTTATCACCGAAAACTAACAGAAATTAATTCATACTTATTTTACGGACACACCGCTATCAAAAACACGTATCACCTGTAATATTGCCAATCCTTCTAGAGGACCATTTGACGTAAAACGCGCAACAAGATCAAATAAAACAAGTCCTCCCTGGTTAAGAGCCAACTACAACGAAAAAAAAGGTAAATTTAACTTCTTCACTACCATTTGTTAATTGGCATCGCTAGCACATGGCCTAGCCATATCCTAGTAGCTCAGTTTGTAGAGCAAAATGACCGCGAAGGCGGACCGTGGCGGGGTTGACATTTCACATGGGGATTCACATTTTAGTTTCACGGGCATTTGGCATATCTTTAAAAACTTTCGTTGCCTTTTTTTTCGACAAGGATGAACTCTAACTGGATTGTATTCTTTCACTTGCCGAGCTGATGTAACACCTACTGAGCTGACAGCAAAGACGACTCTTCAAGTAGCCATACATCCCAACAACATTTAATTTTTGAAAAAAAACTTGAACTAAACTACTACCAACATATCTGAGCGATTACCCGATTGGAGGATTTTTTTTTTCCTTCTTCGTTAACTGCGGAAATATACTTTAGAGCATTGCTTTCCATAAACGAAATTCTATCGTAAAATCGCGAATTAATCTGGCAGGAGGAAAACAAAATTACGAAGGTACAAATGCATTAATATTCCAAAGGATCTTCGGGGCACTTCAGTAGGTCACAAAAACTAAAAAAAATAAAAAGCATTATTCTTTTTAATTCTACCCAACAATAATAAGATTGTGTTATGCTAAAAATTTCTGCAAAATATTATAGTCTTCGATCACATTACGGTATTTTCAGACAGCATTGTACTTTAAATTTAGGAGAAAAAATGTCACTTTGCACCAAAGTCACAAAAGGAATGTTTTCTTTTTAGCAGAGCAAATACAAACGAAGCATTTGCAACGGCAGTAATCATGGATCCCACACCGTTTGAAGCAGTGTCAATGGAAACAGAGCCAACTCTGCAATCCGCAGATGACGACAACTCCTCATTCTCCATTCAGATGATCATAAATATGATCTTCCTCATTCTCGGCATCCCAGCCAACGTGTTGGCCGTATTTTTCGTCTGGAAGAAAAGTGGAGGACTCCTGTCACCTGTGATGCCGTTCCTGATCAACTTGGCCGTAGCAGATCTGTTGGTGCTCGCAGAGTATGTTCCATTCTACATGGCATATGAGGCATTGGATTTTGTTTGGCCTTTCGGAAACTTTCTCTGCAAAACCGTCTTCTCGCTGACACACACATTCATGTATGCTTCTTTGGCGACTTTGACAGCTATCGCAATGGAGAGGTACCTGATCACATTTTGCGACCCAATCAGAAAAAGAACGGTTAAGTATCCCATCATCGTTATTTGGGTCGCTGCTATTTCTGTTTGCATTCCTCAACTGATCTACCTCAAGACCATACAAATTGACACATTTGAGGAGCTTGAAATCCAGGATATCTCGTCAAATGAAGTTGGGCCGAAGAATGGCATCGATAAAAAATGAAAGTAGAAACATTTACGATTTGGAATGGCCAAATTCAAATGCAGAGAAATTTCTCCAACCAATCGACACAGTCATTCTGTACTTGATCCCGTTATCTTTTGTTAGTATTCTCTATACAAAGATTATCAGGAAGTTGAGTGCAATCGACCAAGAAAACTTTCATTCTGCGCGGTTAGCAGTCGAGAAGAAGCGTAGATGCGCTATTCGCAAAATGGTCACTATCATTGCTATCTTCGCTTTGTTTCACCTCCCAATCCACGTATTCCATTTCATCCGTGTTTTCTTTTACGATTCCTGGTGAATTCTTACTTCCAAGTTTACTAGGCTCCTCTCGCTCTGCATCAATCTTGTGTTGGCAACCCATGTGATTAATCCATTAGTGTACGGCTCGCTTTATCACTGCTTTGGGTGCACAGGGCAGCTTTTCAAATTTATGCATTGTCGATAGCGCCTTAAGCCTGTGAGGAAGAGAATCCTCTTTCCTATGATGCGTAAAAGCCACACACAACAGACTCCCCCCTCCCCCCTTAGGAACAGAAAGAGCTCTGTGTAAATTCAAACGACATCGACATCGTTAAAATAAAATCTCATACTCAATGAAACGCTTAACTTTATTGACAGATTTCATATCCACCTTGGTACAAATAACTCACTACACACTATAAAAAAATTTCTTACACACCCAACGAGGTTAAGATGCAATCATGCTACATAGCTACTATATTTCTATAATTAATATTATTATTATCATTACTATCATTGTCGTTATCATTTTTTATCATCATTATGATATCATTATGAAGATTATTATCATTTTTGTTATTATCATGATTATAATTATTATTACTCTCATAGTTATCATCATCACTGTTATTATTATTATGGCCACTACTATAACTTTTGTTATTATCATTATTACTAAATGTTATCATCATTCCTATTATGATCATTTTATCATCATTATTATTGCTATCATTATTTCATCGCTATCATTGTCATCATTATTGTCATTTTTTCATCGTTGTCATTATCATCCGTATTATAACAAGTATTATTATCATTTAAAGTATTATTATTCAAAGTTTGTTATTATTCAAAGTTGAGAGGCTGCCATTTGTTAGTTAGTTTCTTTTTTTTTTAGATAATTTGTTAGTCGACATTTTCATGTATTTTTCGATTTTTTAAGGATTTTATCTTAATTTGTAAATATTTTTGATGATTAGAGTGAATTATCGTTATTATTAGTATGATCATTATTACTATTGTTATCGTTATCATTATCACTATTGTCAGTATTGTAATATTTTTAGGCTCTCCCTTTTTTGTCACAATAAAACTTTCTTGATCAATCTCCGTGTTTACGCAGACTCTATTAATTAAAACTCTTTTTCGTTTACTTGTTATTCGAAGACCCCTTATGTTACTTTACATTTCTACGTGACAAAAAAAGCTCAAATGAAAAGAAACGGTGTCGTGAGTGATTTAAAACACCAACCAGTGCTCAAGGGTCGAAGGTAGTAGATCATCACAACAATAGCATCCAAGAGGAACAGCATGGGTGTTAACTGACCACTTCTTGTGAAGGAAACCGCAAATAATTGATTCTTCGTTTGAAAGTAATAATTGAAGTAAGTTGATTAATCTCGTCGCCGTGAAAGTTTGCACGTAAAAACTCATTTACAGTTATACCAAGGTCAAGGCTGATTAATTAATGTAACTTGTATCGCAGTGACGTTAGATAATTGTCAAGTGTTCTATCTAGTCAAGGAAGAGTTGATTGTATTCTTAAGAACCACACGGAAATAAGCTCCAGGTTTTAAATTGAAGAAGGGAAAATGAGAAAATTCTTTTCCACCAATCAATGCAATGCTAACCCAAAAAAAAGATTGGTAGAGGCAGTTTTTCAAGACCGAAGGATAAATTCTAACTATTGAGATGTTCACCCAATGATGTTTAACAAATCTACGCGGAAGAGGTATTAATCGGTAAATAAGAACGATGTAGTGGATATATTCTTTAACGTGTTTTCTGCTTCGGTGATTCACTCTCACAAACACTCGAGAATTCAGAAGACCATGTGTCTGACCTTCATTCTAACGCGCGTTCATCATTCACGTATAGCTTTGTCGAGACAAAATTGACTCTTCGTTTACTTTCTCTTCAAAATAAGACTCTCTAGAAAAACTTAGAGCTGTTCATTCTATGTATAAATTGGCTGATAGCTTCTGAAAGGATAATATATAGTGCAACAAATGTTATTTTTAAACAAGCGTATTGACATGAAAACAAATTAATGACGCATTAGGTGAGTCTGAAGTATTCACCTTCCACCAATCAAACTAAAGCTGATATTGTAAGTCTAATTTAACGTCTTCGTTCATTTATTAAAGAAGTCCGAGTAATGGAGTCATATTTGATTTAAGTGAAATAATACAGCCATTTTCTTATGCTTAGAATAACTAAAAACCGCTCAAACTATAAAAGTCAAATTGATTTTTTTTGCCCCTTTTGGGTGTAGGTTTTTTATTTCTTTTTATACCGCTACCGACACAAATTGATCACGTGAATTCTTGTGGTTGACCAAAAGTTTTAAGTTTTTGCGACAAGAGTCAGATAATTAAGTATATAAGCACTTGGCAGAAAAAAAAAGTGGGGGTAGGAAATTGTTAGTGCTTGTTTATTTACGTTAAAAATGCGTTCTGAAAGGGAATAAACATCCTGCATCACCATTTAACGTCAAATAAAGCTTAAAGTACACAATTACATTATACTTTAACGCATCCGAGCTATCTTTCCTATAAAAAAAGAATAATTTGACATATGAGCAACCAAGCAAACAATGCTGAATCATGTATGATGAATAATTTATTAGTACCTTCAATATATATTTGATTTAACGAGTGCAACACACATCAGACAGTGTGAAAGGAACATTTTTCGATAGCAGATGACTGGGAAGGGCCAGACATTTGGTACCCAAAACAAGTAACAGACTCCACAGTTTACCAGCAGTGGGACTATAACACTAGCAGATAACCTGTTTCGTTAATTTCGGCTTAGAAACGCCGTTTTCATCTAGGGGGCTTATTGAATCAGCAATCCAAAGGGTGAGTTTGTCACAACTATTCATCGGTGAACTGTACAGTGTTCTTTGCCGGTGAATTCGACGATTATCAAACGTCATCGACTCAGTCTTGTGAAGAAAAAACAGGAATACGTTCAAAAACAGTCGCTCACCGGCCAGCTTTCAAAAAACAAATGTTTTCTCTGTGATTTTGTCGATGTTGAATTTACTAATTGGTATTTCACGCCCCCGTTGATTTGAACTAAAAGGCTATGGAACTAAGAAACGACACTTCGACAACTTCATCGACGGTAAATGGAGACGTCTACCCAACAGAGTTGTTTATAGACGAACTACCGATGCAGGTTCATATCGCTGCATTTTATTTCTATGTGGCGCTCCTAGTGATCGTTGTTATTGTGGACACAGCTATATTGTTCGTATTCTATCGAGTAAAAGAATTGCGAAATGTTACTAACAACCTGTTATGTAACATGATTGCGGCAGACTTGTTATTTGCGTTGCAAACCCCGTTAGAGGCGCTTGCCATCAAGAAAGATTTCTGGGACGCTGGAGATGGCTGGTGTAGAACTCACAGATTTCTGCTTCATGCATTTTATAACGTGGTGATCATCAGCCTAACGATAGTCAGTATTGAAAGATACTATGCAATATGTCAGCCCCTGCGGTTTAAAAAATGTCTCGATTTCGATGTCTGCAATCGGAAGCTTATATTTGGCGTTTGGGTTGCCGCTTGCTTCTCAGCTTTGCCTCAGATCTATATTAGCTCAACACAGTGGTCTTACGGACGAACAGTGTGCATGGAAGAACGCCCACAAAATTACTTGGTAGTTTTTCTCGCGTACCATGTACCATTATTTATTTTCTTGTATTTAATACCTGTAGCGATTATGATTTTCACGTATGGAAAAGTTTCAAAGAAGCTCTACGACATGGTGGAGAGATTTCGGCAAAGATCCCGTTTCGACATTTGCAGTGCTGTCAGAATGAGACGAAGTATTATTCGCATGCTTCTTGTCGTTGTGATTGTTTTTGTCGTTTGTTTAACACCTCTAACATTTGCTGAATTGTTACACGTTACTCCCGCTATGAAGCTTTATGACCCATTTGGCATCCTCTCTGTTTGCGTGGGAATGTTAGCATTTTGTCATTCACTACTAAATCCCTTAGTCTCGTCAGTTATGAGCAAGGAATTCAGGAAGGCTGCAAGACAAGCTTTCAGATTAACGAAAACACTAAGACTCGATGTTTGTGTAAGCTGCAAAGAGAAAGACAATAAGAACCAACTAAACGATACTAAGCAGAACGTCGAAGCTAATGTCACGGTGGGAGGCATAAAAACATTCAGGTTAGACGAAAAAAACAACGAACCAGACTTTTCTTCAGGAAAAGAAGGATTTCCAAACAATGGATTTGATATTAAGCTCTACGAAGAAAGTTTTGCCACGGAAAACACTGAGATGCCGCCGAAGGAAGCTGAGTAAGACATTTTAAACTTAACAAACTAAAACCAAACTATGAAAACTGAATTATATGTCTCCTTTATTGCCTAAGTTTAGTTTCATTGAACGATATCGAATTTTTGGTGTGTTTGCGCAAGCTCTGTGTGGTGAATACTTTTTCATCGCATCTGGGCCCCAATGTGAACTCTGCGCAATAAATACCGCTTCACTGCAGCACGTATTTTGTGCCATCTTTTAACACGCCAAGAGTATCCTGTAACCGCACAATGAGTGGGTCAGTCATCCTTACCATGTTAATTCAACAAATGGTCTCGGCAGTATGTTAACTGATCCAAAACGAAACTGGTTAGCCTAGAAATTAAATATGCGCATACGCCGTGTTACTGGATACGTGCGCGTGCAGCGCTCTACGGTTCAGAGATTCACGTGCACCAGGTTAAGGTCCCACGTACATAGGCGAACCTCATAAACAAATCAGGAACTGAGGTCTTAAGCTTAACTGTAGGCCGGACTGCTACTGACATTCCTAGCTTACATTTGAATACCGTTTTCTTTGAACCACTGGCCTTTAAGTAATTTTTGGTGTTCCGGCAATGAAATCGAAAAAGTTGTAATAAGTTCATTGTAACTCTTTAATGGTATTTTTTTCAAAACCAAAAAGAATGCAGCAGTTACATTTGAAATATCTCTAAAATGTTTTGAACTTGATATCTGTATCGATCAGTACAGAAATTAAAGGCAATTTATTTGCTTCGAAGATTAAATGGAGCTCTGAGTTTTTTAAATATGACATTAAAGAATAAAGGCTGATAGTTTCGAAAGAAACTATTTGGGGCTACGTCTGTGGGAGTAACGAAATAATTTGGATATATCAACAAAGTTGAAATGGTAAATTAGCCACCGTAATGATTACAAAAGCTGACGTTTCGAGCGTTAGCCCTCCGTCGGAGCGAAAGACGAAGGGCTAACGCTCGAAACGTCAGCTTTTGTAATCATTACGGTGGCTAATTTACCATTTCAACTTTGTTGATATATCCAAATTATTTCGTTACTCCCACAGACGTAGCCCCAAATAGTTTCTTTCGAAACTATCAGCCTTTATTCTTTAATGTCATATTTAAAAAACTCAGAGCTCCATTTAATCTTCGAAGCAAATAAATTGCCTTTAATTTCTGTACTGATCGATACAGATATCAAGTTCAAAACATTTTAGAGATATTTCAAATGTAACTGCTGCATTCTTTTTGGTTTTGAAAAAAATACCATTAAAGAGTTACAATGAACTTATTACAACTTTTTCGATTTCATTGCCGGAACACCAAAAATTACTTAAAGGCCAGTGGTTCAAAGAAAACGGTATTCAAATGTAAGCTAGGAATGTCAGTAGCAGTCCGGCCTACAGTTAAGCTTAAGACCTCAGTTCCTGATTTGTTTATGAGGTTCGCCTATGTACGTGGGACCTTAACCTGGTGCACGTGAATCTCTGAACCGTAGAGCGCTGCACGCGCACGTATCCAGTAACACGGCGTATGCGCATATTTAATTTCTAGGCTAACCAGTTTCGTTTTGGATCAGTTAACATACTGCCGAGACCATTTGTTGAATTAACATGGTAAGGATGACTGACCCACTCATTGTGCGGTTACAGGATACTCTTGGCGTGTTAAAAGATGGCACAAAATACGTGCTGCAGTGAAGCGGTATTTATTGCGCAGAGTTCACATTGGGGCCCAGATGCGATGAAAAAGTATTCACCACACAGAGCTTGCGCAAACACACCAAAAATTCGATATCGTTCAATGAAACTAAACTTAGGCAATAAAGGAGACATATAATTCAGTTTTCATAGTTTGGTTTTAGTTTGTTAAGTTTAANTTCATAGCGGCCTGTACGTTTGCAGTACGAATTCTGTTTGGATGAGTCATGTCTGGAAGGGATCTACGCTACTTTAGCGGCGATTCACTGCACTTTTCTGGTATCTTAAGCTTTTCAGGATCGACGCTGGTCTTAAGGTCGAAGAACTAATTATAACGAACGCGTCATCAATGAGCTTCGCAGCTGAAATAGTAAGTTTGAGAATGCATTAATCAGTAATCAGTAATCAAAGTTTAATGTCTTTACGTGGGGCATGGTTACCCATATTACCCGAGCCAGAGGCTCATGTATGAAACGCAATACAACAACACACCCATCCCACCCCAGGGAGGACATCCATCACACAGTAATCTCGTGCGTGGGAAATTAATGTCTCCTACCACTAACCCTGCAGGATACGGGACCTCCATTTATTCGTCCCTATCCGAGAAGACTAGAATATCTAACCATTTCTTGATTTTATAGAAGGGCAGCATATTCTTCTCAGTTATTTTAAGACCTTGAGTGTTGCTCCGGCCGGGGCTCGAACCCTCGACCTCCCGCACATCAGTCCAGCATTAGTCTGATATTCTTTTATATTTTCAGTTCGAATTACGAGAAGTCGGTTTGCGCGGCTTAGGGAAGCATCCACCACATTGGGTTTTACAAAACCACTCTGAGTTGTGTTATCAAATATCACTACCTATTTCCACCGGTCCCCTTAAATAGTTCCCATGATTATCCAAGCTTTTGGTTGCAAAACTCAATCGAAATGTACTTTACACGATTATTGTCCACTGAATACCCTCCAGAGGTGGAATATCCCACTTCTTTTGTACCAAAACTGACTGATACGCACTGGTCGCCAGACTCGAAGGTAACAACTAAATGGGCTGCTGGCTGAAACATCCACAACCGAAATCATGACCCATTACCTGTCACACTTCATCTAAATGTCATATTTCTGATTTACCACCTTAACAACCCCAGCTAGAAAAAGGCAAGGCAATGAATTTAAATATTCAGTGAACGTTTTGACATTCTTCCATTTTCACATTTTTCCTAAAGGTTTGTTTAAAATCTTTTTTGCTCCTTTTGCAACTCACGGTTGCAGACATTCAAATTTTGAAGTCTTTTTTCTGCTTTTACTGTTCGCAAGGTAAATAAATTGAATTAACAACTTTCTATTTGTCACCAAATAGAGCCGAGTCCTTTTTAAGAAAAAAGATATAAGACCAGATAAGTTTTATAAGGAAATTGATGGTGTAGGTTTTAGATCTTACGCCGAATCTTTTGCAATTAACTACTAAACCTACCCCGTCTATCATTCCTCCATACACTCCAACCCCAATGCCATTCATACCAAGTTTTCGAGGTTTGATTTTTGAGTTTTTATGGATTTGTACAGTGTACAGGTAAGTGACCGGCTCACACTTTCTTTAGTGGGACACCATAATGGCGGACGGTAAGCTTGCTAGGAAACAAAGTCACGTGAGTGAAAACACTCTATAGGACACGTAGTCCCCCACTAGGTTCACCCACCTAAATCAACCCCAACCCACCCATCCCACCCCAGGGGAGGACATCCACTACACAGTAATCTCGTGCGTGGGGAATTAACGTCTCCTACCCCTAACCCTGCTGGATGCGGGACCTCCATTTATTCGTCCCTTCTCGAGAAGTATCGAAAGATAATCTCTTGAGATCCTCGAGGTTGAATGTTCCATTACCTTTAAGCGGTGAAGCAAAACATTCCCCGGAAAATACTGCGTATACGTTGCCCTGTGGAGAAAAATGTCCATATCTTTTTCATGGTTTTATTCATTTGCAAATATATAGGTTGAATAAACTGGGGGGGGGGGGACCAAAAATGTCTAACATTGTATGGTCAGGTAACATCAGTTAAATATATATTCGAAGCACTTTTAGAAGAAAAACAAAAGCAAGACAACGAGTAAACAAAAAGAAAGAAGAAAAAAATACTATTAACTCAAACTAAAGAAAAGAAAGAATATTTCTGTTTGATTCTCAATAAATTACGAGGATTAAACATAGAAAAAAACCGAAATAATCTACCCCTTAAAGTCAAGTATCGTGTTAAATTCCACGCCGTTAAAGTTTGTCAATGTCTGCATCATCTCGAGTTCTGAGTCCATATTGTAGGTCATGTCGAACTGAGACGTACCGTCAGAGTCAGTCACGCTTACCTAGTGAATGGACAAATACAGATTAATTGAATAGCATCAGTTTATGATGTCTAGCACAATTGGCAGTAATCTCGCAAACTGATTGGCCAATATTCCGTTGTCGATAAAAGTACAGGCAAAATTTGTTGTAGACTGTTTCGGCTGCGCCTTGTGAATCCACATTATGACTACGCTAAATCACTGTCGATTTGTAGAAGTTAAAGGATAAGTATTTATTTGTATATATTTAAGTACACTTAATTGACACTCACCCAATAAAGCTTTACAGACAATACGAACAAATTGGACACAAACACTGGGGATAAGCATAGTCTTTTATAAGCCCCAACTGGCTGGGGACACACCAGTTGGTTACATATAAAGCACAGCCGAGGAGTTGAACACGGCACAACCAAGAACAATCCCATTGAGTGGCACACCAGTTGGTTACATACAAAGCACAGCCGAGGAGTTGAACACGGCACAACCAAGAACAATCCCATTGAGTGGCAGGGTGGAGGACTTGAACCTGAGACCACTTACCAATAAACATTCTCTTCCAAGGTCGAGACAATAAAATGAACTATTTTCTTTATTACACTACCGGCTTTACATTTGAAATTTCTTCCACTCGTTTGCGTCATAGTAGGTAAGCTCACATATAATCCTGAATTTTAAAGTTACAAGATCAAATAAGTCACACTCTATATCGACAAGAATTTTGCCACAGTGCACAGTGTAACGAAAAGGTGGTTTCTCGACATAGCCTCGATGTTTCTTGAAGTTTTAGATCTTCCTCGTTTTGGAGATCTAGAAATAGCCAATCCAGTGTCGCGATTGCCTAATGTGACATCCCAGGCGACGTCATGCGATTTAGCATCTTTGCCCTCTCGTTCGCCCCATGGTATGAACGCTTCCAGCAATTCTGAATCTTATAGTTTTAAGAACGAGTGAGTCTACACCTCAGGAGAGAATTTCGCTACAAAGTAGCGAAAACAGTGATTTCTTGATATAGCGTCGTTCATAAGTTGGTTTTTCTCAGAGTTGCAGATCATCCTCCTTTTGGTAATCTAGATAGAGTCAATTCAATCCAGTGTCGCTTGAATTCCCATGCCAAGTCTATTCGTTCTACCCGGATATGTCCAGTCAAACAGCTTAATTGAAGTAATCAACTTACTTACCAATTCATTTGTTGATCGTTATTCATTTTTGTTGTTGTTGCTCTTAATCGCGTGACAGCACTTGGTAATTAAACAGAATTACAACTCCGGAGCGATTGTACTTACATGTAGAGTCTTCTTGACAATTGCTTTGGAAAATCTAAAGATAAAAATAGTGAGAAAAATACGTTCAACGAAAGATAAGTAAGAAACCAAAGGATGAAATTCTTTAATAAACAAATGCTCTATTTACACCAGTAAAACATGTTTAGCTGAACCAGTTGTAATTGAATCAAATTCAGCAGTAGAGACTCGCTAGATTTCATCTAGGGTTCAAATAACTACTAAACTCTACTTTTATTGTGTTAGATTTGAAGTCGACGAACATCAGCTTAAGCAACTTCAATCAAGAAATATTTTCCAACCGCATTTGACTAAACAGCTTTAAAACGTGGTGTAACTTTGGTTTTGAATTTTATGCTGGATAAGTTTGGTAAAATACAGTTATCGTTGAGCTATTCCATTGATATGTACAGACTTTTAAAAAAAGACAAGATAAACCTCCCTCTAGCGTTTGGAACTTGAAAGGTTTGAAATTAGAACAATAAAAAAAAAATCAAAAAATTTCTTCTTACCACCACATTTTAACTTTCGCTTTGACGGCTTTCCTTTGGCGCTGGAAAAGCCAGAAAAAAGAAAAAACACAAGAAAAAAAGCCTTCATTATCAAACGACGCTGTATCGCTCAACTGCATTGGAGAGCATTTGTTTCGTCTTTTTATCATACCAAATATGTAATCAACCGTACAAGGGGAAAATTTCTCAGCTAAAAAGATGGAATTACACCCCATTTTGCTAGATCAAAAAACACAAATTTTTAATTAACATGCAGCTGCTCAAAGAGTTTAAAAAAGCAATAATTTATTGCTTATACTGTCTTATATCTGACTTATTCAGTTGAAGTGGCAAAATTACAATCGATTTCTTTGCAAAGTAGTCGCTATCGTGTCGCAATGAAAAGATAATTTCCCACAAAATGATTAAAAAGAATAGAAATAAACTTTTAGCCCTTAGACGGTAAGATATCAATTGGCCACTTTACAAAACGAGTTGGAGCCTAGAACGAGTTTCGCGCCGCAAAGGTGCTTGGGATCGTTACTAGGGACAGATTTGTTATGAAGTCTTGTTCACCAGTAACTGAAGAAGATATTCCAAGAGCTAAGCTTCTAAAACCCATTGAAGAAAGCAACTGTACGTGTTTACGGCGCTGGCTTCTTTATAGGGGAGACAAAACGACGGGAAAACTCACCGAACTCCGACAACGGTTCGTAAACTTCCGTTCTGATTTTGTCTGAGTGTAAGTCCTTTTTAAACAGCAATTTTTGACTTAATTTTGCTTCCCTTTACTTCTCTAAGTTCCTAAGAGTAGAATATAAGTGCTTTGGTATTCACTTCTACAAACCTTGTGCAAATATTTGGATTGGTAATTTTACAGACAACTTTGATCCTCCAAGATCAACAGGTTTCATAACCCAAACCTCCTTGCTTGAGTGAGTGTTCTAAGAACCAAACCCCCAAAGTTGGTCGCAACATAGTAAAAGCGAACGAGTAACTGCGCTTTAGAACCATGAAAAACAGTCATTCACTTTTAACCGTTAGCTGTAAAGGCCATCAACCCATTCAGACTCCGTTTACTTAAACCTCATTAGAATCATGTAACTCTGTTAGAAGTGAAATTCTGTTTTCCATTTTGCTGCGTTTGTTTTCTTTGTTTCTTTGTTTGTTTTTTTATTATTGCTTATTCCTTTTGCATTTCCACCTTTTTCCCCTGTAACTTCCAAGATCACCTCCTAATTCTCTCCTCTACTTGCTACACATTTCCTTAGTTAACAAAATTTGGTGTTAGCTCAGGATAACAACTGGCACCCGGATAACTTTGAGTATTCTCATGACCTGTTTGCTGGATAATGTGTGGAAATTATAAGGAGAAGTTACATGTTAATCACTTCTGGGAGTTGAAGGGTTCAGATGATAGTCTAATTTGTGTTCATTTTGATGATTTATTTACTTCTTCCACTGCGAGCAAAAGTTTTTTAATTTTTTTTTCTTCAAAAATTCTCACAAAAGCGGAGTAATCGCTCAATCAGTAAAAAATGACATACAACTTAAAAAACCAACATTCAGAATTTAAAACACGTGGTGCGGCGACCAGACTCGAAACAAAAAAGCGTGTTTTATATATATTGGTAAGAGGGAGATTGCCATCATAAAGGTGAATAGCTACACTTGCTCGAGTGATTATGAACAAACCAACTTTAATTTTATGCTCAAAGACACAACTACATTCATGTATTTAATCAAAAGAAATTCGACTGAGTAAGGGTTGCACTGCCCAATCTCTGTTATCCTTTGGCGGGTCAGGAAAATCAGTCTGTCGGGAGCCTGCAGATTAGTTAGTCCAAGGGAATCCCCTTCTCTGCAGATTGGTCCAAGGAAATCCTCTTTCCTGGTCCCTTTGGGTGAGGAGCCAGGCAAACCCCTTTCTCATAGCTCCCTGCATGCTCGCGGTATGAATTTTTTCTGGGTGAATCATATCTGGAAGGAATCTGCGGTGTGGCCGAGCAACACAATGTTCTGGTATCTCTCATTTTTCAGGATCGACGCTGGTTCTTAAGTTAAAATAGCTGAATACAAATAAAATTCGCTAGTAAGCCTCGAGCTCGCTACTAAAATAGTAAGTTTGAGATTGAAACTACATTTATTTTATGTTCTTTTAATTAGGCGAACTTTATTCAGTTCGGACTTTAAGAGCTGGATTTGCACGATTTAGGGCAGTTGTGTTATACCATCACCTATTCAACTGTGTGACAGAAACCAAAAACAACGACAACGTACAAGTAATTGCTTTTACAGTTTCTCCGGGAATTAATTTTGATATTTTTCTTCGCTCTCGTGGTTTTTCTGATTAGAAGGCTTTCGGTTTGGAGACTTAATCGGAATGTGCTGTACATACTTATAGTCTATTGCGTGACGAGCTTTGCTCAAGAAAAAAATTCTCAGCAGGCATCGTAAACTGATGCCGAGGTTTAGAGAAGAAGGTGTTGGGTGGATGTCATCACATTAATTACACCAAAATGTAATTACATAGATTAGCGCCCACGATAGATACCTTGCAGAAAGGGAAGATCCCGATTCCATTAAACCAAAGCTGACTGGCATGCACTGAGCGCCGGACTCGAAAGTAAAAATGAAATGAGCTGCAGTTTGAAACATGCACAATCAAAATTGTCAACAATTACCCTCAATACGTCATCTAATTTTAATCTTTCTGTCTTACTGCCTTGACAATCGATAAAAAAAAAAGAGGCGAGGAGCAGATAACGGTTTTAAAACTACATTCGATTCATTTACAAAGCCATGGCGCGTTTGTAAAATCTCTTATCTCCATCACTCAGTGTCGTTCAGGTCTATTAATTTCAGTTATCATATATCTCCAGTTACTGCTCACGCTTGCAAACATTCTCAACGCCCAGCGATAGAAGGTGTCATGAGCCGCCTAACGTTAGCCGCTCTCGTATTTTTTCGAGACTTCACTTTTTGCGTTTGTTTTTTGTCTTTTTTCAGCTTCAATTTTAGACGTCACAGACGTGCCGTCATCACTGTCAGAGACGAATACCTATGGATTGGAAAAACACGGATCCTTAAAAACTGCCTGATGTTTTTACCATTTTCGGAAGAGGGTTTTTAGTAGCCACTTCGAATTTCGGCCTCCACGCGCGAAGTACCTTTGGAACATTTTGAGAGCCATTTGTTAAGAGAGTGTAGGTTCTTTTTAATAGCATTAATTTAATCTAATGTATATCAGAAAATAGGATAAGAATCAGAGGTTTATATTCATTCAGACATACCTATGTATGCATGTATGTATGTATGTATGTATGTATGCATGTATGCATCTATGTATGTATGTATGCATCTATTTATGTAGGTGTGTATGTATGCATGTATGTATGTATGCATGTATGTATGTATGCATGTATGTATGTATGTATGTATGTATTTATGTATGTAGACGTAATTGAGAACTCCTCCAACGGGGCTTTTCAGGCCCAATACGAACAAATTGGAAAACAAACACTGTGGATAAGCATGGCGTTTTAAAAATCCAAACTGTCTGAACGCAGACTAATTGGCTGCAAAGCTCAGCCAAAGGAGTGGAACTCGCGGCAACCAATAACAATTTCAGCGAGTTGCAGGGTGTAGGCCAGCAGATCAGAAGCCCAGCGTCTTAGTTACTGAGCCAAAGTGCCTCTTCAAATTCCAAGATTAAATCTAGCTCTTTTACTAGACTACTGACCTTTGATTTAACATCTTTTCCCCCTCGTTTACCTCGTATTAAGTGAGCTTCCAACTGTTACACTATGTAATTATCATCTTCGACTTCATCCACGTCTTGTCGTTCAATGAGACAACGAAGGCCTCATCAATGATTTAGTGACTTTGTTATGGAATAAAATCAAATTGTGCCATTTGTAACTTCATAACTTTCATCTTTCAAAAGAGGAAAGGTGTTACACCATGTAATTATCACCTTCGCATTCGCACAGCACGCACAACTATGCAATTCACATAAGCACGAGCATCGCATTCTGTATAAATTATAGCGATCTTGTATTGAATAAAAAAGTTGTAAGTTTCGGCGTGGATCTGAGCAAACAACACAAAAATCCTTAATCTTGCAAATTTAAGAACATCTCATTTTACACCTTGGGCGAGAATCTCGCCACAGCATAGCGAGGAGTGTGATTTCTCAAGATAGTGTTGTTCTTAAAAATGGTTGTTTCTACGAAAGTTTTTGATCCTTCTCGGTTTGGAGACCTGGGAAATATTAAAAAATATTTGGAGACCTGAGAAATATTCAATTCAGATTGCCTCGAGTGAACTCTAAAGCAAGGTTTACTCGTTCCATGCCAAATATGTACATTCAAACAGCTTTTACCTTTATTGACCTAATCAACTTATTCATTTACTTTTTGCTGATTATCATTTATTGTTGCTGATGTTTTTTTTTTTATCACCTAACAGCGTTTCAACCCTGGTTTTCACTAGTGACATAAGTGCGAGCGTAAGCACATATGCAAGCATAAGGTTTATATGCCAAATGAAAAGGAACGTCGACAAACAAAAGCACTAGCACAAGAAAAAGGACTAATATTTGATTACTGCGTTTGTGCTTGCTCTTGTGTATATGCTCGCGTTGAGGTCTTTTCCACAGTGAAATAAGAGCTGTTATGCTTGCGTTTGCAATTGTGCTTTTGCTTGCGTTGCCTAGGAATCACTGAAAACTCTGGATCGAAGGAAATTGAACTTACCATGTAGAGTCTTCCAGACAATTGCTTTGGAGAGTCTAAAGATAAAAATAATAAGAAAAATACGTTATTCAATGAAAGTTGGGAAAGAAATGAAAGGATGGAATTCTTCAATAATCTCAGGCTGGATAAGGTTAGCAGGTTACAGTTATTATCGTCAAACCGTTTAACTGCGATTTATGTATTTTGATAAAATCAAACAAGCAAAACAAAACACTAAATCGCAATCGTTTTGAAACTCAAAGGTTTGAAATTAATTAGAACTGTAACAAAAATAAGAGTGTTTTTCTTACTGCATTTCAGCTCTCTCCTTGCCGGCTTTGGTTTAGCGCTGGCAAAGCTAAAGGGAAGAACAACCGCAAGAAAAAAAAGCCTTCATCATCAAACGACGCTGTATCGTTCAACTGCACCGAAGAGCCTCTGGTACACCTTTTTTTATCGTACCAAATGTGTAAACAGCTGTTGGAAGCTCATCAAATTGTAAAACGCCTTGCGTGATATGCAAGGAGAAAATTGCTCAATTAAGTGTATAGAATGACACCCCATTTTTCTCAGATTGAATAACAGTTAAAAGCAGGCGCACAGCTGCTTAAAGCTTTTAATTCTCATTTCAAGAGTAGATCTTCTCAGTTGGAGTAGTGAAATTACGAGCAATTTTTGTGGCGCACTTTTCGTAATGTCCTTGATATGAAAAAATAAGTTTCCGCAAAAAGAAACTTTGAAAATCCAGCAATATAACTGAAAAAAACAAAAACCAAAAAAAAAAAAATGGGTTTATAACTTTAAGGCAAAAGTATTTATAAAACTTTTCATGACAGAGGGTAACATTTGGCTTCCCGTATAGTAATTGTTTGTTTTTTGTTTTTGTTTGTTTGTTTGTTTTTTTTTTTTTGCTTTGCGAGTTCTTTGTGAAGTCAGACTTCATGGGAATTCAATGAGATGTCCCTTATACGTCGAATGCGATTTAACGTGAACTAGACACAAGTTTGCGTTTCCTAGGGCTTTCTTTTAGATATATATTTTTTTTCTGACATTTGTTTATTCTGCATGGTTCACGATCACGTCTACATACATAATGAGATTTGCGTTTATGCTTCTCTCGATTAACATTAGATGGCTCAGTTGTTAGAGCATGTTTTTGAGATGAAAGGTTCACTCGTAAATCTCACTCAGAAAGAGATCTCTATCATAAGGTTCACGTACCGACCCGTTTCGAAAACGTTGGACATCTCTTAGGTTCTTTTAGCGTGGGTGTACCGCGAACGCTGTGTGCATATTTTATATGTGTTCTGAGCGTATTATACACAGTATCGTGATGATTTTGCACCACAGAAACTTCTCTTCTGTCGCGCACGCGTATTAAAGACTTGATTGAGAAGTCGGAATTTCAACTCGTGCGTTTCCTTTGGAAAGCTCGAGTAAAAAGTTTAATATGGTTCGCTTCCTTTCTTACTGATGTTCCTAACTAATGTTCGGCTGCTTGCCCAGGAAGTCCCGAAATTATGTCGGTCATCCTTAACCGCAAAATCTCTACCTTCAGGGTAAAGAAATGGCCAACCCCCAAAATTAACATTCCTGAAATTTTGATTCTTATATTATACAGTAAGATAAGACTTGTTAAACGCCTACATAATTTGCAAAAGGATAATTTAGTATTTAACGATGAATTGAAAGTACTTTAATGTATAAGATGAAATTTAAGAATATTTAAAAGTTCATACATCCCGAAAGAAAAAAAACTGCAATTTATAAAACTTAGAAAATGGCAAGTCAGGATTCTTAATTTCTTGATCCATCGACATGCATGAATGAGCTCTTTAATTCTTTGATTTATGTTTTGGTTAATATTTCGTTTCTTTATTTTGATTGCCTTTAAATGGACAACAAACTCACAAATAGCATTATGAAACACAAAGAACTCGATCAACAAAACTTTATCATATGCGCAAATCGTTTTAGCTTGTCCTGTCATTTTCGACAAATCTGGAACGCGGAGCCTGCTAAAAATTCTTATTGCTCATTTTATAACATTGTAAGAGTTCGAATCATGCTTGTCAATCAGGGCAGGCTAGTGCGAAATCTGGTTTGAGACCTATAAGCTTTAAAAGAAAACTCAGTATAAATATTTTTGTTTATAATCTGATAATTGAGTAATGATCGAATTATCCCAAAAAGGCTTTTGATCAAAGGAATAAAGAAACACGAATTATAATTTAACCCTGGGTTAACGCTAAACCGCCTTCGAGCACCTGGGCTCAGAAAATTACCACTTTGAATATCAATGAAAGGATAAATAACAATTGAAACGAATGGCTGAAAGCATTTCACCGATTACCTTTCATCCCCATGCAAGTGTTTAATTATGTTTAAATAATTGTATAATAATGGACAAATGGATTCATTAAAGGAATGCATGGAAAACATTGAAAATTGATAATATTTACTAAGCGTGACTATTAACGTACACAGCCTCGGACCATCTACAGCAATTAACAAAGCCGCGATGGCTCCCTCTAATGTTTCGCTTAATGAAACTTAACGCGTTTTGAGGAAACACATTAAGTCTGAAAGGGGAGATTAACGATTAAGATAGAACCAAGCTGAGTGAGAGTTTTCATAATTAAACAAACCGAAAAGATCTGTTCCTTTTTTGGAATTTGCAGTTTATTCCTTTTTTTTAGAGGCATATACTTCTGTACGTATTTGTTTCAACAGAGTGCTGTGCGGAAATTTGAGACCTTGAACATGCTGAAAGCCAAGTGTGTTCACCGAACTTTTACGATCTTCTTTATGGTTATCTTTGACACACCTCTCCTGTTTCAGAGCATTATTACCCCATTATGCCATAGTCCTTATTTCTATTTCCTCTCATCATAGAAATGATTTGTTTCTGTGCCATCATAACAAGTTGCATAGTTTAACTTTTTGTTCTTACTATGATTAATTCTATTTTTATCCCAACTCTAAACTGTAGTTTTCTCACGGGCTAGGTAAACACGAACTTGAACGCGCTTGAGGTCTTACGCCTTAAAAAATTCTTATCGAGAAACTGAATTACAGTTTTTCTTCTCTTCTTTTGGTTTACCAAGCTATCAACAACTGAACAACAACGAAAATGGCAACTTTCATCGGTCCAATCTTTCAAGGNGTGCCGACCGCCCACTAGATCAACACGGCAAGCGACCACTTTTTCGATTCTCCAGCCCTACATGTAATTATCATTGGTTTACGGCCACGAATTTTTGCTGAACCATTTTACAGCTGAGGAACGAAAGTCTTCTATTGTCTAAATATTAGCGTGCGTTATAAAAAAAAAATTTAGTGGTTCGACGTTTCTAACCATCTCTATCTAAGTTCAGCGAGCCGCTCTAGATTCTCCCCGCTGTTCTCTTCACATTTCCCATGATAATGACAAAGAGAATTTGTTTAACAATCATGAAATTTTAAAGTGGCGACCATTTCCTCTGTTCTCACGACCTTTACACTTGATTCAAGGCTGCTGCAATTAGAAGCCAATCAGTAAGGGGTGTAAAAAGTGAAAAATAATTAAAAATATTTTATCATTAGCAATTTTTTCCCTTTCATTTTGCTAAGTCTCAAGCAACACAATTATAGATCATTACATATCTCTGTGCACATCCACGGTGCAGCTGTTTCCTCCTTTGCCAAATGGAAGCTGCCTCTGTAGTCTCTGTAATACTGTACTTTAAAGTTCCAAATGATAAAACATATTTAATAGCGATGTGCGCAAGACACTCGTTGAGTTGTTGATGTATAATAGATTGCCTCAATGGGGTTGACTATTAGCCGGACTTTAGACATAAAAATTGACCAGTTTTAGTTATAAGTCGTAAAAAAAGTTAATCGTAAACAAACTTTATTTAAATAAAGGCTGATAGTTTCTAAAGAAACTGTTTGGGGCTGCGTCGGTGGGGGTAACGAAATAATTTGAATATACCAACAAAATTAAAAATGGTAAGTTGGCCACCGTTACGATTATAAAAGCTGACGTTTCGAGCGTTAGCCCTTCGCTCCGAAGGGCTAACGCCCGAAACGTCAGCTTTTATAATCGTAACGGTAGCCAATTTACCATTTCAACTTTGTTGATATATTCAAACTTTATTTCAACCCTACTGGAAAGAAATTGACCGTCAGCCGTAAAAGTCATCACCCATTGAGGTCAACGTAATAAGACAAGAAGACAAAACGAAAATGTTTAAGTAATGTTGTCTCTTTCTAGGAGCAAATACGCTAAAAAGTAAAATATCACTAAAAAGACAATAATAAAAAATGTGAAAGCAGCCGTTCACACCGAAAGTTTGGCAATCATTACTTTAGCATGCAAAACATATTTATATCTACTGTAAAATTTCCTTTCGCCTTGGTGATCTGACACGTTTCGAAGAAGCTACAAATATGCAGATACGACGTAAATTTATCAAAAATCCGTTCATAGAAGAATGAAGAACTTCAAGATTATCTTACATTTGTCGAAAAGTTAAATAAAAAAAAAAAACAGACTAGTCGGGATGAAAAAACTGCATGCGTTTGAAATACTGTGTGATGTTGATTACAAGCACTGCTATAAATTTAGCTAACAATAGTGACTGCCTGGAGGTTGAATTACTGGTGAACCATTCACATACATCGCAGCAAGATTTTGATTTTTTTCCTTAAAGACCTGGGCTATTTTTCTAGCTCATTTTCGAAAAAAAATGTTCTTTACTGCTTTCGAAATTTCTCGGCGAATCTCTTGAATTCGCCAACAATAAAGAAAAGGATTTAATAATGCATTGGCGAACAACACTGTTATTGCAAAGCTTAAACAGGCGATCTTCACCGAATCTCGACCGGTTACTTCTATAACAATAAACATCGACAAATACGGAACGTAACAGAGAATTAATAGAATATAGATATAAAACATTGTTACCACGGATCGTCGATAAAAGCAGAAGATGGGGCATGTTTTCGCTAACGTGCAAAATAACTTGCGATTCGGGATCCTGAATTTGGAAACGTGACGTGATGATAGAGTTTTGTAGCGTGCGTAGGCGAATTTGAAGGGTGATATAAGCTGAGGCGCATATCAAGAGACAGACGATCACGCTTGCAATATTGAAGATTTGATAAATCTTGATACTCTTTATCCAGGAAATGACCCACAAGCTTGTGGCTGACCAAAGAAAAAGCAATAAAATAGCAACACGTCTGAGAGAAATTGCTGCGTTGTACTCCTTTTTTAAATGAAGCGCAAGTAGTCTGTCGATAGCAATCGCAGTCACAGTCAAGAAAGATACGGCCGAAAACACATTAGCAGATAAATGAAAGCCGATCCCAGCAACACAAAACACTTGAAAGTTATCGTTCACTTCGGCCGCTTTGTAAGTGATATAAAG